CGCCGAACACTGTGATTATCGGCTTAGGTGACATACGATAGTTGATATTTAGTACAAAATACCGCTCTTGATAAGTCTAACAAGGAAGTAGCTAGGATGAAGTTTTGGATGGCTTTTCCACTTTCATGACTCTGCTTTTATCGCTATCAAAAATCGTTCACTTTTCGCCAATGTGAATCCATATCTCGGAGATAGGGAGGGCGAGGCTGCGTACTTCATTTGAACATGGCTGCGGCGCTGCTGTGTTTCCATTTCGGACAACTGCCTAATGTGTTGTGCTAGACAAAAGCACGATCACATGCTAGACAAAAGCACGATCACAATGTCCCAAACGGGGATATCCCACCGAAAACGCACCCGCCACCTGCTCCAAAAAGGTGCGCAACCACGCCTACCCGATCTCCGGGATATGGTATCGTACTTGTCATCTCAATCGTATTCGCGGTAGAAGCTGGGGTGCGTCAACTAGGCTGGCTTGGGGTAACAGGTTGGCTCAGCGCCAGCCGCGCTCGCGGACAGCCCTCTCCGCAGCGAACACATAGTATGATGTTGTAGTGTTTAATCACTTACGAGATGATGTCGACTTATTAATATTTCCAGTTATTTCGGATTAGTTTGATGAATGAAAGCTTTGTACTATTTTTTTTTTACATATCCTCGTTCTCTACAAAGCAAGCTTCGCTGTACAGGACTCAGCACACTGACACCTTTGCGCTGCTCGCTATGCGCTATTACCACCCCCACCTCCTGGCGGCAATACGACTCCCCCCATGGAATTCCCACAATGCTGGCCTGAAGAAGAGGTGTTGGGGTTATTTGCGCCATGAAAGGAAAACAGAGAAAAGTCACAAACAAAAAAAAATTTCTTCAGAGCGAAACACATATCAGCGAAAACCATTACTACCCCTCCCTAACAGCACCCTCGCTGAAGTTCAGTGTTTCAAGCCAATCACTTAGGGAGTAGTCTACCAGTTCCCGCCCGACTCGGATGTCCTCAACTACATATATCCCTATTCCAAGGAGACAACTAATGGCAGAGTTCGGCTCCAGGGCAATTCAGACGCTGAAGAATGCTTCAACGCATCAATTCGAAGTTCCACTAGGCGACTTGAATGGAGCAAGGTTTGACAAATCGTGTTGCCCGAACTCAAGCGGCGCACTATGATGTCACATTGCCGGCGCAAAAGTATGGAAACATTCCAGGGCTATTAACAGGCTGTCTCTCTCGGGAAGGCCGAATTTGGCGTTCCCGAGAGAGACAGTCTCTTCTTTCTCAATTGTGGAAGCTTGCAGGTGACCATAATCATTGGAGAATAACAGGCTCGTGCGGAGCCAAACACACCCTTTCCTCCCCTGGAACTTCTCAGCTTCTGCAGCGAAAAAGACAGTATGTTGCGTGCGTTCCTGTTAGTTGCAGTTTGAAGTGCACTCCGCACTTTTTTGGCTGACAAATACAGTCATGATCCCTGCAATCGGTGGGGCAGCGATACCGGTCGTGGATTCAAGCGCTGCCAAGATTGCCTCCTCTTTCGATGTCATCCTGAGTCCTAGTCCGCAACAGTTGGCGGCAAAGGCACATTCCGCCGTGCTATTTTCAGGTTCAGAGTTTGCGTGGAGGCGCGTTATCGCGAAGAACGAAAGTTGCCTCTTCAGGGCACATCATTAGTTGGGGATTTTGGTCGAGTCCGTACGACCCCACTCCCCCCCCCCACACTAATAGGTGGCTGAGTTCGACCTCCTCCTCAGTTCCCTGTTTTCCCATCTTACCTACCACTTCTTAGATTTTCCCGATCCTACCAATTTCCTCGGGACTTCCCGATAATTTTCCTAGTTTCTCGCAAAAATTTTGCTGTCGAGCGGGGCTGAGGGGAAGGTCCCTGTTAAGAGTTCTTTTCCCGAAACAGGGAACTCTAATAAGCACATTCCACATAAACCCTCGTTGTTTACTTTTGTTACAGAACACAGTCAATTGAACATTCAGTGTCACATATCTTTATTTCAGCATCTGTGATGCGAATATGAATCACAGCTGAACTAAATCCGTAGCAACCCTGAATAGCTGATATCAACATCCAATCATTCGCCCTAATTGTTTGTGCCAATCATTCAATTTAAACTGTGAGCAATAGGAATGGATCTCCCTAATAAAACTAGGCGTGGTTACGGTAGGCTGCCCGGTACGCAGTTGCACGTGTGACTGGCGGTAAGTTTAGGTAACATTCACCATACTGGACTACAGTGCACTGGCATTGCACCTCAGCATTTTGAATTCGCGCGCCGCGCAAAAGAGCAGTTTTGTAACTGCTCTTTCGAGGATTTCCTCTTCCCAAAAACCACTTAAATTATATCTGAATGTTATATTTGAATGTTGAAGTTTTCGAGATCCATGAGGTAATCGCGTTGGGGACTCTCTGAAGAATACTCCGAGCTGCGCGAAAAACCCGTTTTCTGTGTACCGTTTCAAGTGAGCGTATTCGAATATCGAATGCATCTAGAACGGATCCTCTCGTAGAATAGGAACAAGTGGTGGTGGTGGTTGCTTTAGCGCCATTAGCTTTATTTCTGGATGCGCCATGCTTAGGCTCCCACGCAGAGGTAGTGGGATGGTGCAAGTTCTACGCAATGCCTGTCTACGCGAGCAGATGTGTTTATAGGGACCAGGAAGGTCCATGGCCTACCTACGCACTTGTTTACAGTCTTGTTCGCAGCGAAAGATGGGGCGTGTCCGCCTTATCATCCGCATTTGACTCAACTGGAGAACGGATTTGGCGGCCACCGCCCACCAATTGTGAGTCGGAGAAGCGAAATCAGCTGCTGGAAAACGATTGGTACGAACGATGCGGTAGTCCCGTCGTTTGTCGAAAGAAAAAAAAACAGGCTGGCGCTGCGCCAAACGCAGTCGCGCGGACATGTCCCTTTATCCGCAGCCAACCAAGGTATAAATTGCACTGTTTAATCATACACGTATACCCCTTATTTTTTTTTTTTTATCCCTGAGCCAGAATAGGCATGACATTTGAACAAGGCTGGAACTAGTTAACTCGTGGAATATTCCAGTCTGGGACAACTGTCATCTTGTTCTGTGTGGACAGAGACACGACAACAATTGTGTCAAGATGAAAATATCTCACCAGAAGCATAGACACCTTCAGGTTAAGTTGAAACATGCGGCCACGCCTACTCGATCTCAGAGATTTCGAGTATTGCGAAATTATGTCAACTTATTAATATTTCCAGTTAATTTTGGACTAGTTTAAGGTATTGAATTTTTTCACTGTTTTCTAACATATCGGGTTCTCCACAAATTTTTCAATATACATGACTCAACACACCACACTGACGCTTTTGCGCTGTTCGGTTATGACTGCCCCTCTCATTACGACTCCGCCCCCCCCCCCTCCCCCACTTCGACCGTCAGATACGACCCTCCCCCTGTTGGGGAATCCCCAGCGATGACGTCCCCTGCGCCTCACACGCTCTATCGGCAGGGATCATGGCTATACATCAGTAAGACTCGAGAGATGATAATAGAACTCATATCAATGAAAAGTTTACCAAAATTAGGTATAGTGTAGTTCGCTGCGGACGGTTGGGCGTGTCAGGCGGGATGAGTTTGGCGCGGTGCCAAACCCGTTCTCCACCAGTTGTTAAAGCGAAAATGATATGACTGTATCATATCGTTCGTATTACTCGTTTTCTACCACTTTTTGTCGCATGCGCGCTTCAACAAGAAGGCAGAGAACGGCTTTGACGGCGTGCACACTCATACTGCCTGACACGCCCAACCGTCCGCAGCGAACTGGAGTTTAGCATCGCAGGGTTATTACACCGTGTAGATATATCAGAGCTCCTTTTGCGTCCGAAAATAAGATAGTACGGAGCACTATTGCACAATTAGCTTGTAGCGCCATCCAGACTTCGTCAGAGAAAGTCGGGTATCTCGTGGAGATCAGCTAAAAAAACGAAAACGAGACGGACATCTACCGAGCAGGGACACTCCTCAGCGCCTGAAGAGACGCACCCGCACGCGTAAAATCGACCATGCCCGGAAAAGCGAAAAATTATCTGTCTACCACGCCTTGTTGATATACTGTACTGCTTAGGCAGAGTACCTCTGTGAATGCATCTGCATACGGGGAAAGAAAGTTGAAATGCATTTATTAAGTTATAACAATGTCTTTCAAATATTTCAATGCCGCCAATCGTACGGATGCATCAGGCGACACAGGGGACGAGGATGAGGAGAAGATGAAGAAGAACGGGAAGGGGGGGGGTGGTCTAAAAAGAAATCTGCCTGGCGCACATGTGGACGCCTGGCGCACATCATCATCATCATCATGGTGTACACACAAGAAAGCATTCAGTATATATACAAAATCTCGTTGCGCTTGAAGAAGAAGACGTGACAAATACAAGAAGGAAGAAACGAACCAAAAATGGCTACTACGTAAAACAAATCGATGTGTAAATCGGTTGTGGTGTGGGTGGACGCGCACGAGTTGTCGCGCGCGCGGTGGACGAGTTTACAGCGGGCTATGCGCGTGACCGCACAGACTACGAGACTATCTGCTTAATGAAGGAAAGGAGGTGAAGAATTTTTTTTCCAAAAGAAAATCAATCCACTGGGCTAATGGACGGGGAACTGACTAGATATCGGTATGTGTGGGTGCCTTCTTAAGTATATAAAGAAACACTAATGAGACAAATACCCTTTGCGAGGCTAAAAATTACTCCAGTAGGCCGTGAAATAATGGGTGGTCATCAGCTGACATGGCCAGCTGACACCTCAACCATTTTTATTGTTCCGTTTCGCTACAGAAGTATTAGACGTATTGGGGTGGCATTAGGGCAGCGTTATCGCGAGGCGAATAGAAAACGAAAAAGATGAAGATGAAGTACTGTAATGGATGGATTACGGTAACTGCACGGATGAATTGATGATGAAATAATAGAGAGAAGCGAATGCCATATAGCGTTGATCACACGTTCATTGTCGGAGGTTATGAATTGGCGGCCATCAATCGTGCCTTTGCGCATTCCGGACACAGAATATCCGTGCCGTCCGTTATAAATCCCTATAATTAAGATATCTGAACTATTCACAATAAATCCGACGCAAATCACTGATCAATTGACAGCCATATTTTATAGGTAGCTCAATTCCAGCCCCAACAATCTGGCCCGGGGATCTGAACCCAAATCAGATCAGCCAACTACTGATCAGAAGCCATTCCCTACAAAACTGGAATAACTCCTCTAGTCAGTGCTTCAGATGGAAGCTGATCCTATTCAGCGTACACCAATGTTAAGCAACACCAATCAGGTGCCGTATTTGAGATAATCCTATTTGGCCTCGTGAGAAAATTCTCCTTAATGGTGATTCGTCCCGCTTAACGTGCGCTACACACAGTCGTATCCCTGCAAATGACTGGGCGTGCGACGCGGGGCATGCTGGAGCGCAGCCGCGGCCCTATTCCAACAATGACGCCATCTTGTACACGCTACAATTGGTGGGAAATCTACAGCTGCACTTCAAGCCACGCCTCTTCCTATGTCCTATCGCTCGCAGCGACTGCGACTGTACCTTTCAGGCAAAACAAGTTTTTCGAAGGATGACCAGAGGTGTCTACTCCCTCGTCTTTTGAGGGAATCTGTCACGAATGTGTAGGCCGTAAGGATGAGCTGTACCAGCGGAGGAAGTCAGAGGTGGAGGGGGAGGAAGGCGTGAGGGACATACGACATCCACCCTTCCCCCACCTCTGACTTTCCTCCGCTTATGAGCATCGGGAAGGGAGAAGGACAGCATCCTTTCACCTTTCCCGATGCTGTACTTTTAACCTGTTCGCAGGATAACTAATCTTATCGAAACTATTCGCTGTTTTGCTGCCAATCCTTACAGCCCGAGGATTCCTTGGGAAATAAAATATTGGTCGGTGGCTCCATCCCACCACGAAGGCATGGTACACTTTGCCACCTAGTTTCTGTCCTAAATTTGGTCGACACGTTAGCTAGCACTCAGCCTGTCAATCGATAAATGATCTTCTGAGACCGCGTTCATACTTGGCTGCTCGGGCGAGTCACTCACGCCATTCGAGCTCCACTATGTTGAACCGTCTTCTAATGCTAATAGCAGGACAGCTGCAACACTTATTCTATCCCTATTTTACATCAAGACAGTTGTGCCCAAATATAAGGGATGAAGCGATTTGGGGATCACGCGATTGAATCGTCTAGTCGCGGAGTATGAACGCTGCTTACAGTTTGCACAGAGCTTGTCTTGGACCATAAAATCGATACAGTACTCACCTTTCCTACCAATGACGTTGTACACTGTGCACAAATGAAGCAGTCGTTATGCCAATGTCTGTCTTCGAAGGAAATGAATTTGGCGCCACCAATTCCTGCAAAAGTTCACGCTGAGTCATTGGGCTCAAAGACACGCATGAACGCACACATGGCGTATTTCAGCAGTGCTTGACGTGAGATCTTACCGTTCCGCAATGAGCGGAGGGGCGGAGAAATGGGCGGAAACTCACAACCACTACGCTTTTTTTATAGGCACGCCCATCCCCTTTCCACTGGGGTGAGAGGCGCATTAACCAGGAAGGTACGATTGTTGTGAAACCGCGCCCACTTGCACGCCACTCGCTTGTGCCTTTCAGTCACGGAGCAGAACTCACCGGTAATGGGCTTCGTGCAAGCATTGCATCGCTTCGCAAACAATTCACCATAACAATTCGCACAGTACGGCTTCTCGTCCTTACTCGTGAACCTTTGGCCTTAAGAGAGACAGTCAGGTATCGATTTATTAATTGATCGAGAAATCAATATCTTGCGTATCAAACGTACCGGCTAGTGATACATTACAATGTGTACAACAGAAACATTCACGATGCCATGGTTCGTTTTTGTACGTCACGCCACCAGTGGTAATCACCTGAATCACGAAAGAGTGACTGAAGGGGCTCTTGGACTCTTCTAGAATCTTCCATAAATAGCCCCTATGAATGGTTGGGATGTACGATTGACGGAACACCAAAAAACGCTGCCTTTCGGCATTCTCATGTCCTTTTCGTATCCCCACAGGGAATTTTCCGACCCACTGAGAAGATTCTATCAAGGCTGATGTCACTGCTTCAGAAATTGCTCAACCTTTAGAACCCACCACTTCTCAACAAATTCTGGAAGGTTTTCGGAACATACTTCAAGAGAGTCATCCCACTGGGTACCGGGGCCTCTCAAAGGTTCCTCCGACTCGGATTAGGAAACGTGTAATTCAATAAGTGCCAATATTTTGCCCAGTAGAAATCGCTACCAAAAAGTGACCTAATGATAGGGCACCAAAAAGTGACCTAATGGCAGGGTTGCCCACTTTCATCCAACTCCTTGAATACTACTTCAGTGGCCCTGAGTAATGTGGTCGCTGGGAAATGCTTCCAAACGATGCTATAATAATGCGGTAAGGATGCCATCATACCGTAAATAGGGAAGCCGTCGGCTCTTCATCAAAACACGTCCATCAAAGAGGAAAAACTCGTCCACAAACATACCTTCCTGCATTTATTGCATCGTGTGGCGAATTTCTCTTCATAGCACGATCCACAGTAGACGTCCTCGTTTTTCGGGATGAAAGATTTGGTGCCGATGGGATTTTTGCAATGCGCACAGCAGAAACATTTGTCATGCCATTGTTTGCCTTTGTATTCCATCTTTTTCATACCTAAAAAGCTTGCCAGTAGAAGGCTAAGGGTAACAAAAAGAAAGCAAAAAAAGTTGAAAAAGGGCGGGAACTACGGTATGGCTTTTATCCATCAGTATGCTAAGCCACTTCAAGGAACAACGAGCCATTAAGGACAATGAGCCAAGAAATACTTTAAATGATGGAGACTGATAACCATTTCGGTTCAATAATGTCCAAGCGGCTAGGAATGACCCTTCCCCATTTTCTAACTGGTATGGAATGGAAAAAATAAGCAGAATGAGGTTTATCGAACTTAGAGATGCTGCATGCATATCTGACACAATACCTAATCAACAGGTAGCTAAATGCCTGTTCGGCTGGCTATGGAGGGGATGGTTCGATGACTACGCCCGTAACAGAAATGATTAGCTATGAAACGTTTACAAAGTTATGATAAAGGATAAAGGCTGGAAAGTAATAATCGCGTTTATCGGCTACTGATAACACATTTTTGGGATGTCCTAAATTTAAATCTAGGATCTAGTCGAGGTGAAGAAAAACTGAAAGTCACCGACTCCTGATTAAGGCCTCAGGATTGGATGAGTAATCCAAGAAGCGAGACACTGCTGAGAGCGATATACCAGAGACAAAAGATTTGAGAAGAGGAAGAGGCATCCAAAAGACGGGAGAGACCTCAGGTCAGTCCTACAGATTGGACTTGTCGCATCTGTCTTGAAGGTATGGGACCGCTGGAATGCTTGTCTCCATATGGGTGAGACATCTTCTACGGTAGAAGTTTCTTTAGTTTCTGATGATCGCGATGCCCTCTTCATACGCTATCAAACCACAAAAGTGAGCCCCTGAAACTGTGGACTGAGCCATCTGTACAAAGAAGAGATCCCGACACGGACGGAATGGAAACGGTAAGAAGAAGGGAGATCTGGAAAGATCAAGCGTTTTGGTCAGCGCACGTCCAGGTAAGCCCTAGTTCTGCACACTGGCTCCTGCATGTATGGGTCTACAATTTCCAAAACCACTTTTTGGCAAAACTTCTCTATGACTATGCGTGTCTTACTGGACTTTTACTTGGGTTTGTACTCTGGATATGATCCGCGGAGATGTCACTCAATTCCACTGATATCAGGCGATGTCGGATGAAAGAGAAGTGAGCAAAAAGGAAGGACCTCATCATATTCAACTCTCAAGAGCAGCTGTCTACTTCAAAGAGCCTAAAAACCCTCCCTGCAGAACCCGAAATTAGATGAAAGGCAGCTGGACGGTGCAAGTGAGGGCGTAAAAAGAAGTCAACCTCCTGTGCTTGCTGCCGAGGGTGTCAATGCTAACCGGCTTAACACAGGCAAAAACGAATCTATACGAAGCCCTGATAGCCCTAATAGGTCAGCTGGCATGAAAGGCCACCCAAATGACATCACTGAGTTCTACGGTGAGAGCATATTTCACTGAAGCAACGACGATGAATTCTTGGGTTCTGTAGGGGCGGTTCCTTACGGATTGGAAATTCATGAATAGCAAAAGATGTAGCAGGGGCATAATGGCCCATGAAGACCTTAATTAAGAAAACAAAAAAATTTATGGCCTTTGGTGGTGCTCCGAAATTGGGAAATTTCTACGCGTTGGTCTCATTGTCAGTTTCACTTTGGCACGAGGAGGTCCTGTACAGAAAGATACCGTACCTGCTCTGAAGATCTCATTACAGCCATCACATCGCGTGGCGAAAGCTTGATCATAGCAGTTTGAGCAAAAGATTCGATCGTTTTTACTTCCGAACGGCATATCGACAAGAGATATCTTGCACATATTGCATAGGAAACAGTGTTCATGCCAGTGCTTGTCCTTGTACGAAAGGTCCTGAAACGAGAAAATGAGTCAGAGTACGGTACTCTATAAATGATTGGCTGCTTGATTGGCCAAAGCGAAAAAATGCATCAGTAAGTAATTTCAATTCCATCCTTCCAGACAAGTTTGCCAAGCCGATTCTAGAGGGATGGAAAGCTCGACTGGGATGGCTTTGCCAAGATTCTATTGAGGATTTCATTCGAGCAGTTGATGCTCCTCATGACCCATGGGAGCATCTTTCAAGTATTTAAGCCCTGCTCTGTAATTTATGGGTCCCTAGAAAATAGTTCAATTCATTTACAGTAGGCGAAACAAAACCTTAATATAGCTGGGTTATCAAAGAGGCAGCGGTTATTGACAGTAAACCCCATTAAGAAAAATCGGGAAGAAGCCATTATAGTAGCAATTTGCTCAGCTCAACCATTACAGGATGCCGTTGAACTTCAGCGTCTTCCCGAAGAAAGGTCCGCAGAAGAAGATAAATGGAACTGCCGTAAACTGGTGAGAACAGCGAGGGGGCAGGACCCATCAGATAGCCTTTCCTGCTTCTCAAGTAATCGAGAAAGATCACCAAAAGAACGACTTACCGCGGTCATTGACGATGTCGTAATGCATGTCGTGGGGCGCGAATGTTTACCGAGCCTTCACTAATACCGTCCAACCAGTTTTTCTTTTCGTTTCCGAAGAAATGCGTTCAAAGTTTCGCGCGACGTCTTTAGAGGTTGGCCTCATTTAACGAACCGTATCCGGTCGACATTCAGCCGAAAATAGCGCCTCGATAATACGGTACCAGTTCGTTCGGAGGACAGTGATGGAAACGTGGACACTTCTGCAGTAAAGTGGGTAGTTGCTCGTTGAGATCTTTACGGACTTAAAGACACCATTGGTGGTGGCCGGAAGGGTGGAGCCACGCAATGACGTCATTGACGCGTGAGTCTTCGCCCCCCCCCCCCTTACTGCATGGAGTGTATCTATCGATGAGCTGTGTAGGGCGGGAATCGACGGGACGCACCATTGACATTGTTTCCTGACTCCACCCGCCCTGCAATCGGGTTTAAGGGCCACTAAGCACTCCGATGATAAACCCTCTCCAGTTCTGCTTATTCGTGCCAGCTAGAAATGGAATTTGAGCCCCGAAAGCTACGGCATGGGACGACATGGCTCCCAGAAGTTTTTGCACCGCCAGCAGCTTTAGGCGCTTTTCCATTCCGCGTTTTGAGCCTTATCCAGCTGCCGTAAAAATAGTTCTCCAATCATATGCATGCATGCACGGTTATGCAAACCGCAAAAGTTGCACTTAAAAGCTGCGTGGATGCCCACTGAGCAAAGCCACATTTGTCCAGCTGTTTCATGAACCTCCCGTGGCAAACGAGAACGGAGATTATTCCAGGCTGAGAGTTCTGCCGAGTTTCTTTGGCTTCTTTCATAGTTGAACCAAGAGGGCTGTTTCGCGCAACAGCTGTGCAAGCGCTGGGTTCCTATCACGTAGTTGCGAACACTGCAGGAGTTACCCACAAGGGTTCCAGGCCCTTGCAATGGATTTGAAAGAACTCAAGGGAATGTTCGCCAGGGTCACACCCTTGAGAGCTTGGCTGATTCTGCCCCGAATTAGTTCAGGAAGTCCTTACCCGTGAACTTTTCCACTAATGGGACAGGGTTTTCTGCTTGAAGAATTTCACATCTGAATGGTATGGAGGCCTAATGGCGCAAATGATTCGCGCAGGTTTTGAAGGTTCAGGTATGGGATGCTGTGTTTCTGCTTGTAATAACCGAAGAGTAAGAACGGTAAAAGCGATTGTGTATAAAGTTCATATGCGCGCCGCCTGTGGAAAACGGAGTACCGTGCGTGTGAGCAGGGTGATTTGGGAATCGTGGCGGT